AGGAGCGCAGGCAGAGGCGGTATGGGATGTTCTCATGCAGCTCAGTGAGGAGAAAGTCCCTGCAGCCAGATCCAAGATGGACACCGGCACACTCAAACTGAGTGTAGCTTCCATTCCACCAGCAGCTTAACTCGTAGCCTCCCCGCCTGTGTCTTCGGCCACTGAAAACACTGTGTGATGCTCTAGTTTCCTCTCTAGTTACATTTGTCCCTGGCTTTCCACTGCTCCTCTGACCTGCTCCAGTCTCTTTTTTCATGGCGGATTCTGCCACATGGGTCCACTTTAACAGTACGCTGCCATTGGTGAGAATATTTGCCACCAGATTCCCCAAAGACACCACTGTCCTGCAGTCTCCCTTATGACACTCGTACCCAAACAATGTGTGTCGAAAACACAGCTGCCCACCGATGCCTCCCTCGATCACTCGGTAGGCACACAGTGGGGAAACCTCCTCCTCTGGGCTCCAGTTTGGTGGCCTGCCAAACCTTTCAGATACCACAGTAGTAGTATTGTCTCTTTTGGTGTTAAAGGAGAAGCTATTCCCTTGGCCTGTTACCTCTTTTAGCTTTCGTGATGGCCTACTTTCTTGACTTTGATTGCCTGAGCTGGTGTTAGTCTGTCTCAGCCAGTTTATGGTTCCCAAATGATGCCTGTCTCTAGCCCCTGATGGGGATGTTGTTGTTGACAGTGCTGAGCTGCTGCGATGAGATCTGCTCCCAGCTGTGTGGTGTAATGTGCAGAGCAGGAGTGCCGATAAGGCGAGCAGTGATGGTCGTTTTTGGCTTTCCATCTCACTTCCTCTCGTCGAATAATTTTCTTTCACAATGGATCAGATGGGCTGATGTCTGCCATTAGATCAGCTCTGCCTCAGTGCACACGACGAAAACCGCTTGAAACACAATAACACGTCCATGGACGAGAGGTTCGGCGATTCATCTGCGATTAAAGAAAACAACTATTTAGTCATGCATGTCAGAAAGACAGTTGAGTATGACCTTGCGTAGGATAAGCTTGCGGGATGAAATTTACAGCGCCTACACGATGATAAAAGTCACCTCATTGCAGCCTCCGACTGACAGGCATTTATAAAAATCACTTACTAGTTTCGGTGGGACGAGAGGACCCGGCTATCGTGCCGTCAGATTCCCTTTCTTCTTCCTATCTGTCTCGACGTGATGCTCCGGTGCTGTGCGAGAGTACACGTAGAGGAGCGCGCGCCGGTGTGCTTGCGAGCGTGGGTGCATGCACAGAATATTTGTAGTCATCAAGTACATTCTGAGTCATCATCCCACACAGTGCTTCAGGTGTCTGTCAACAACCAGAGTCCTGACAGACTGACAGATGCAGCGTTACTTCAACCCACCTGCTGCTCACCTGCAGGCAGAGGTCCACACATCACATTATCTGCTGTTAGCTACAGGTCAGTGGTGGACAGAAACCAAGAGCATTAACTCAAGTCTTTACTTCAGTTTAATAATCAGGTAGGCCTACTTCTGCTCCACTGTATTTCCATGTACTACTTTATGCTTTAACTCTCCAGAAGCAACTATTTTACTTTTTACTCCACTACATGCACGTGCTAACCATAGGGTGCTAACTCAAGTTGCTTTGAACATTTAGATTCAGCTGAGTAATGGACAATATTATAAATTAATAGTTTATCAACTTTATTGATACCATGATACAATTCACAAGCCATACTTTATGGTAATAAAAACAAACTGCTCCTTTAGTAGCTGCAACATTAAACTGATAATGATAACCCTTCAATAATAATAATAGGCTTTTACTTTTGGTACATTAAGTTGGATGGCAGTACTTTTGCTATAAGCTGCTATACACAAAATCTACAGAAAATAACTCTACATTTGGCCATATTTCTTCTTCTACAACAATTTTACTCACCTTTTTTTGTACTTATAATCGACAGAGACTCATTCAAATTAACTCAAAATGTCACATTTAAAAAATAATAACGGAAGCTACATTTATGTTCTGAGTTTTACGCTTGCGTTTTTTACCTTGGTGCCAGGTCATTTTCTAATAAGGACCTCTTCCGATTGCATTCATGCTTTCTGTAAACTGCACTGCTTTTAAGTGCAGCTCAAATAGAATGATAGAATAAAAAGAGAAGGAAGGGAAAATAATGGTTTGTGTAGAATTGTATTGGTAGATCTTGATGTCATTTTGTCTATCCATCTCATTGTTATAACACTTAAAAAACATATTCACACTACCAACAAAAACATGTGCATTCATTTATACAAAGACCACTCTGACACAACCTTAACGCAATATAACCACCACAAAGTGACTGCTGTATTGTCAGATTGCACGTACAGAGCAGGTGACTTTCATTTTGTCTGTTCCCTGTAAAAGCTAATTACTGTTGAATGAGGTTTAAGCCACATGTTCTCTGTATAAAATCAGCATGAACAAGAGTGCCTATAAAGAAACAAGTTTATCCCAAGCATGATGGAAAAAAGATGCATCATCGCCCTCCACAATTAATTTAATTAAGCAGTGCTTATGTGAGATTATTTGAAATAATAATTGCCTCGTCCCAGGAGAGAAGCTTGGCGACTCAGTAAACAATTAGTACAGGAAAATAGTAAATAGCTGACTGCTAGGAGAAGAAATGCTGTGTCAGTGGGACTGATTTAGATCCATTTGTCCCTTAAAGGTCACACAGGGTAATTGGTTGAATCTGTTTGATTTGCAGTAAAAGTTATTTTGATGGTACAATTATAGTTATATATTATTATATATTGTATAATAATATATTGTATTGTCTCAACTATGGAACTTCAAGAACTACTCCTGAGAAATAAATGAGCAGATTGCTGGTCCTTCACAAAATGCATTTCAATAAGTGATCATTTAGTATGAATAACTTCATGGGAGCAGAACAGGCTGTTACATAGCAACCCATGGCTGTTGATGCGATCATTCAGACGAACAGACAGCATTGCATTTGCAGTTGGTCGTTGATGCGGGAAGAAAACGTGGAAAATGTCTGCCTCTGCATGCACACTCAAATGATCAACATATTAAGTTAAATTAACCTTGAGCCTGTTCAGCAAAGAAACCTTCTGCGTGTCAAATGAGTTTATGTTTATGTGTGTGTGTGTGTGTGTGTGTGTGTGTGTGTGTGTGTGTGTGTGTGTGTGTGTGTGTGTGTATATAAATGTGATGAGGACCATCAGCAGCGGTAGGGGTTTGCTGAAGCCTTGATGTTTCACTCTGACTCTCACACAAAGAAAAAGCAAAGTATGTCCCCATGCAGAGGATGATGCCATGTCAGAAGACCTCACTGTAGAGGCTTTTCTGTTTGGGTTCTTGGTCTTTTCTGGCATCCTGGGAAACATCTTGGTCATCCATGTGGTGAGATAACAAAGAGACTAGTAATTGTTGATGGAGCTGTATGTTTTGGATTGTACTCAGTGTGTCTTGTTGTCTCAGGTGTTTCAGTCAGCCGTGGACAGTCCGTCAGGAAGACTCCCTCCCTCTGACACCATCTTGGTGCACCTGTCACTGGCCAACCTTCTGACCTCACTTTTCCGCACAGTGCCCATCTTTGTGTCAGACCTGGGCTTGGATGTGTCTCTGTCTCCGGGCTGGTGCCGAGTCTTCATGCTGCTGTGGGTGTGGTGGCGAGCTGTGGGCTGTTGGGCGACGCTGGCACTTAGCGTCTTCCACTGCACCACCCTGAGGAGGCAACACATGGCCCATGGACCCCTGGCTCTGCAGAGGGAGAGGAGGCGGGTCTGGATCGTTCTAGGAATGGTGTGGGGCGCAAACCTGGTCACCTCAATTCCAGCTCTGATATATAGCACCCATGTTCACGGAAACTTCACTGTAGAGCTGATGGTGATCAGCTGCACCACCAGGCCTCTCCTGGGCTGTGTGTGGGAGTTCCCCTCCCTTCAACAGGGCTCAGCCTTCGCCTCTTCCTCGCTTGCACTTAACGAGGTGTTGCCCCTGGTGCTGATGGTTTGCACCAACCTGGCCACACTTCATGCTCTGGCGAAGCACATCCGAGCTGTTACGGCAGGGGGAGAGTCAGGAGGAGCCCATGGGGATATGGAAAAACACGTGTCCAGTGAACGCAAAGCTGCTCATGTAATCATGTCGCTGGTGTCGCTCTTTGTGGTCTGCTGGGTACTACAGGTTGCTGCGGTGACGTACTACAACCATGATGGGGGACACCACGCTGAGGGGCTGCTGACTGTGGCCCACTTCTCTGCCTCACTGTTTGTAGGATTCAGTCCCATGGTGGTGGCCCTGGGACATGGCAAGCTGAGGAGGAGAATCAAGCGTATGCTCCTGATGTGGACTGAAGTTCTTAAATGTCACAGGGAGGTCACTGAAAACGGGGGTGAATCCCCAAAGACTGAAGGCAAAAAGAAGGGAAAACAAACTGTTTTTATTGTTGAAAAAGATAGTAAGGTCATACAAGTTAAGGGGAAAGTTAAAGAAGATAAATAATGGAACCAAAATGAAAATGCGACTGCTTTGATAGCAGGGATGCATCCTCAATATGAAGGCACCAACTGCATGTGTCCTCTGGACAGAACTTTTGTCAAGTATTATTTGAGGTTATTCTGAGATATTTCAAGCCATTAAGTGCAAGTCAAGCAGAGACACAGTATGTTTTCTGAGTCACAAATGATTATCAGCAGGGGATTTGTTTTCTTGTATGGTCGAAACTAGTTAATCTAATTCAATTTATCATTGCTTCTTTGTTGTTTCTTTTGAGCTAAGATGTATTCAAATAATCTTTTAGCCAAAATCACATACAATGTCTCAATATTTTACATGCCTAAAAAAAATAAGCTCAAAACAAATTCAATAAGCCAAAGAAAACTCTTCCAAAATAGTGTTGTACAGAGGACAAATTAGAGAAAAGTACTCAACATGTTGACCCCCTTTACATTTTTGAAGTTGATGCAAGCAATAGCTTTTGATTAGCGGTATTGTGAGAGCTGCACAGGGCTCTGTCATTTAGAGAGCATAGACTTGACGAACAAACGCAGCCGCCTGTGGCCCACTGCCAGAACAGCCGGTGACATGGCAATGAAGATGATGTTGGCAAAACGAGCGATGACCAGAAGAAACTCTGCTGAGGAGCCGCGGTTGTAGTTGAAATAGTTGACTGAGATGATGCTGGTTCCCCAGGATGCAATGAAAAGCATTATGAGAGCAAGAATTACCTGAGAAACAAACATGGGAAAAATTATGGAAGTAAAACCGATGAAATATGTTATTGACTCCAATAAAAATGAAAAACAATCCTATAAGGAAACTGGTGTACATTTAAATGTTTTATCCTATCCACTAGTTCAGTTGCAGTTTTATTTACAAATACTTAAAAGATGAAATCTAAAGACCTAACAGATAAATGTGAATAGTGTAAATGATAATCTTTCTGAAGCTTGAGAGTGGCCTAGATACTTAGGAATATTTAAAATACAGTATAAGTTGACTTATGCACTATTAATTTATACTGTAAAATACTGCTATTTGACCAAAAATAATCACTACTCATCCACATGATGAACATGGCTTCAGTGAGCTCTTCACTCCCTTCCTCCTCTTCCTCACCTTGGCTGCTCTCCTCTCAGCAGGCACACGCTTTATGACTGGTGCATCTGGTACCGAGCTCCTCATCCTGCTGTGGGTGTAGAGTGTGTAGAGGGAGCCCAGGTTGGTGAAGGCCATTAGGATTATGGGAATAGTTTCATGGATCACCATAGATGTGGTGGCGTAGGCGAGGCCGCTGTAGCTGGAGGGGAAGTTCCAGACACAGCCCAGCAGGGGGCGCGTCGTGCTGCTCACCAGCATCAGGGTCTGAGAGAGGAGGAGGAAGATGAGAGTGGAGGAAAAAGGGTGAAAGCTACACAGGGCTAGCAATTTAAGGAGACGAATTAACTCTATAGAAACTTAGACGCATAAAGTAGTTTCAACCCCATTAATCTCTCAAGGGAGAGATTAATGTTGTTTTATGATTGAATACAAATGAGTATGATCAGGAAACTACATATAAATACATTTTTAAAAAGCCTCACTCAAAATGTTCTAAATGCTCAATTCATTTAAATCCAACCATTTTCTCAGGGTGGATGCAAAATTACATACATATATTGAATCATGTGTAACTATGTTTGCTCCACATTAAATATTAGTTGATATATAGACATGTCTTTAAATGCAATGTTTTGTTTGTAAATTGTACACAATTTCGTTGTGATAATGCAGTTTATCTGAAAGTAAGCATACAATTATGTCACAAACCTAATGTAAATTCTTAAAAGTCATATTTTAACTGAAATAAATGCAAACTCAATGTTTACTGAAAGCAGGTTATTTAACAATGCAGATAATCAGCTCTAAAAGCAATGAATAGTAACCAGCTTTGAATTGTTAAAAAATGTAAAGCACATTTAAAAACAAGTAGCAAGGTGTAGACAATCATTAGCTGTGATTTAAGGTGTACAGGATTGTCAAAAAATAAAGGCTGAAATATGCAAAACGACAGGTGTGCTCCATTCATTGAATCTAATGCAGCAAGCTCCTACCTCGGTGCTGTTTACGTCCCCACTAGTAGAATAGATATGAGCAGGAATGGAGTACATAAAGTTGAGACACCAGATGAGGCCCAAAATGAACATTAGGGTCTTAGGGAGACCCCGGGGCGCATGAAGGTTCCCAATAGCTGGAGCCACACGCCTCAATGTTTGGAGGTGGAACGCACTGAGGAAGAGCGTTGACCACACGTTGACCGATCGCAGCCACACCCAGACACCCATGAGAAACTGACACCACTCTTTGGATGAGTATAGCTGTAAAAGAAAGTGGTGCATAATCACACATTTGGAACTCTTCCTCACTGTCGTCCCCATACTCATACTTTTCTCCTGCAGATACAAATAAGTCAACAACCATACTGACATTTAATTCACCTCCAGTGTACTTAACTTTCTAGTTTGTGTAGGGCAAACACAGTACTTCTCTTACAAAACGGGTTGACCAATATGTACACTTTTGGCATATAGGCAACTGGTAAGTTAGGTGGTGCAAAAAAAGTAAATTCAACAGACATTTGAACTCACTGGAGCATAACTCATGAGCTTAAAAAGCACATACCTCAAGTCCCACGTCTGAGACGATAAGCAGTGTGTTCCTCATCACAGACACCAGCAGGTTGGACAGTGCCATGTTAATGATAATTATGTCTGAGTTACGTCCCCCAACCCGGTCCACTATGACACTCTTACCAATCACCCCAACCACGGTGGCATTACCAATGATCCCCAGCATCACCAGGATGATGTAAAAAGCAGTTTGCACGGGAGACACAGAGATACGCAGTCCCATCCCCACAAGCCCTGCATCCTCGCCTCCCTCTATGTGGTTGTTAATTTCAGCCATTGTCTCAAAAACTTGTCAACAAAGTTTTAGCAAGTGATGTAAAGTTTAAAAATATGTTCCATCTTCATTTTTGTTTGTCAGAGGAATATTCTCCAGCTCTCATCCTGCAGCATGCTGCAGCAGTACATTCACCCCGCTGGTATTCTGATTGTGGATCTTTGCAGGTGCAGCTAACCTAAGAGTACTCCCTCTTGGGGCCAATAAAGGGGTCCATGATCCTGTGTGTGTCATCAAGACAAATACCTGGCAGCAGAGGTGTCTTTGTGCTCCGGTCTGGTGAGACAACCACCGTTAGGCTATCAGAAAGCCAAAAAGCAACACAATCTTTTATGCCTTGGGGAGCTCCAGGTGCATGTTAATGAAACACAGGAGATTAATCAGCGTCCCTGAATGCAAAGTGCTTCCTTTGCAACTTCATTTTTTTTGCATTCATCCTCTGGGAAGTGGACGTTCTCTTTTTGTGTGCTTCTTGTACGGGGGTGTTTAGTAGAGAAGGAAATAAACTGATAGCAACTCTGTTTTGGCTTTAAGTCAAAACCAGTAAACACAGACAGTCCATTCCCCAGAATAAATAATTGTGCCTTTAAATCTGTTTTATTACAGAAATTCAAGTTGTGGTTTTCATCCCTTCCTCATTTAGCATTGCAGAACCACAGTGGTCACTAATTCATTTGGTCACTAGAGGCCCTGCGTTCCGCTCACATCCTGTAAAAGACCCTTGTTGTCATCCACCTGTTTAGGTAGTGACACTGAGGCACATCCTACAACAGTTTTAACAAACATTAAGGATTTAATCTACATCCAATTATATTCAACAGTATGTCTTTATTTAATCTTAACAGTGAATGGTAAAGGTAAGACGAGCAAGACATTCAGCAGGTAAGAGTTAAACAGCAGCAGACGTTGCATTACCCCTGCTGCAAGAACAAGTAACTCCAATGTTTTAACCAATAACACAGATCAAATTAATGGTTACATTAAGTGTAATTGTAAGATCAGAACAAAATGTTTTTTTCAGTCCCTGCATTACATTCTATCTGTGCAGGTTAAATATTATGTTTCCTCAACGGGTGTGTGTGTGTGTGTGTGTGTGTGTGTGTGTGTGTGTGTTTGTGTGTGTGTGTGTGTGTGTTCAATATAAACATGTACATATAAAGGAAGATGATTTCTAATCATTCTAAAACATGTGTTTCAAATCAGAAGAAGACATGAAGTTCACCTCTAACTTATTTTCTGAACCTTTTCTGAATTTCTGTTTGCAGCTAACAGCCACTAGATGGTTCCGNATGGTTACATTAAGTGTAATTGTAAGATCAGAACAAAATGTTTTTTTCAGTCCCTGCATTACATTCTATCTGTGCAGGTTAAATATTATGTTTCCTCAATGGGTGTGTGTGTGTGTGTTTGTGTGTGTGTGTGTGTGTGTTCAATATAAACATGTACATATAAAGGAAGATGTGTTTCAAATCAGAAGAAGACATGAAGTTCACCTCTAACTTATTTTCTGAACCTTTTCTGAATTTCTGTTTGCAGCTAAGAGCCACTAGATGGTTCCGTAAGCAAACAAATACAAGAGAGGAGAACATATTTTAAAACTGATTTTTTGTATTCCCTTCTGAAAAGATAAATAAATAAAATGCTTAAGGTCACAGTGCAAATCTCTTTAATATAAATATAATGTTTTTCTTATCTTTTCATTTGACCAGAGAAACAATGAAATAGACAAATCTGGAACTGAATTCTAAACATGACAAAAATATATATTCACAGCACGAATATGTCAAAACGCTTGAGTGCTCTTTTAGTTTTCTAAATCTCTATATAATGAACTGAAATTCACACAAGCCAAAATGTGGTCATAGATAATACAAATTATTCAAAAATATGTTCCAGCATGCATCAGCAAAATGATTGTTGCATGTAGTTATTTTTTGGGGAAATAACCTTGCACTGACACTGCTGTATACTGTAATACACTTTTTTATATTCATAGATTTCGATCATTTTCACAGATGAACACTACGTTTATATTATTCTAAGCGCTATGCTTATTGAAAAACAATAACAGGCAAGGTGATAATCCTCTAAATTGGCCATCTTCCGCTGCAGGCTAATGTTGAATACGTTCATTTAAGACTCATACAGTATGAAAAATAGCAAATCAATAATTACATATTTGAAAGATTACATCATTAAATTGAATCCGGCTTCTTCAGCTTCTCAGGTCGCAGAGTATCAGGGACCTTCTGTTTGACTTTTATAGCTTTACTCTAGCTCTACAACTCCAAATGATTTGTGGTTTATGGTACCTAAATAATAAGTCGTCATTTTCTCACGCTTTATCTTATTTTTTGTCAGGGTTTATTACCAAAACAACATTCAAACTGTAATGGAGTATAGTCAGCTGGGTGAATCCTCAATGCTTTTAGGATCTAATACCAGTGAGAGGTAATACCAGTTATTTTGATCTAATACATGACAGAAGGAAAATACTGGGAAGGACGTTTTACATATAAAGAACTTTAAATAATTGCAAGGATAATTTCAAGTCAATACACATTACTTATGTAACAGTAAGTATTAGGCTGACCTACTAATAATAAGAACAATAAATACAGATTTTCCAAATCAAGTCTACGAATGCACTGTTAAAGGTAGGCGCTGGACTAATAGAAGACGGCAATGAATACAGAAATAAAGGTCTATTCTAAAGAAACGCATTTGCACTAAATGTCCCCTGTGGATGGGCTCATAAGCTGCTGTTAAGGGAGCTATAGTGTGCAGACCTTTATTTATGTTTTCAATAACAATAGCTGCTTACACAATTATTTGTACTTACACAATGATTGCTGCCTACCTGCGTAGTCTTGCAGCTGTTCATATTCTTGACTAACTGATATGTCAAGCAAATGTGTGTGTATGGTGGGCGGCATTCCTGCAACGTTGAGGATTAAAATGTATAATTATGCAAGATTTTTTTTCAGCCATTGTGTGACAGTGGTCTGTAGCTATGTAATAAAGACTTGTCTGTCACTATAATTAATTTCAAGGTGAACATTTGAACTAAGTACAATAATAATCATAATGATACTCAGTCTTGCATTAGTTATCTAGACTAGAGCATCCAGCGCTCAAAATGCTCAAATCTCACCCACTTTTTTGCTCCAGCTGCTTGATTGCTGCAGACTGTGATTGTTAACCCTGCTGGCTGGAATCTATCAGGGAAGAGAGACAGGCAAATGGGAAATTATACTGGCTCTAATGGACCAACCCTGACAAGTATGGACATTATGCAGGAATTAAGAAGAACATTTCAGATAATAATATTCAGCTCAGCCAATCTGTGTGGCTCTCTGCAGTGCAGCATAACCCTTCTCCTCGGCCCGAGCTGTAGACCGGAGACACACACACTCGACTGTTCGGTGCGAGGTGCTTGAGGCGCGTTGAACGAGAAGAAGCAGGCAGGTAGAGGGAGGAGATGGAGGGCTTAGAGGTGTAGGTGTGGGGTTTTTGTCTCTCCCAGCTCAGCCAGTAGCCTTTTAAACCTTCTTGATTGGCCTGCCACGCTACCTGCACCTCCTGATGCTCCACTGGGATCAAGTGAAGGTCGCTTAGGGCTGGCAGAGCTGCTGCAGGATAAAAAAACAGAGAAAAGTAAGGCAAATATTGAAACCACCAGGGAAAGTAAAGCTGAATGCTGAAAGGTCAACTTTCAAGCAAGAGAAGTAAACAATGCTTTTAAAGAGCATCTTGCAGGGTTTTTTTTTTTCTACATTTATGCTTAAACTTGCTTGAAAATTAAAATTAAAAAAGTGAATGTAGGATTTGATATGTTTTACGAGACATAAGGGCAGGAATTCAGAGGGAACGGAGCAATTTTGAGCTCTGCTCTTAAAAACGGCTTTTTTTTAAGGTCATACGTCAAACGCGTCATATTACATCACGCAGGGGAGACATCTCCGCTCTCTGACCGCGGGTATAGTTAGTAGTTGCATTGAGTAGAGCGGTTGTGATTTAGTGAGCTGGTATTTTTTGGAAGTTTTACATTGCATTTCACCATTTGTAATCATGGTGCAGTATTGTGTTTGTGCAGGTTGCACAAATACCAGCCTGTCAGGACATCGAGTCCACAGTAAAAAGGACCGGAGCTAGCGTTCGTTCCTGGGTGCGTTGTGCATCCACCTCCCTGCAGTACATACTCTCCACAGCTTTATCAGGAAACCGTATTACTCCTCTCTCTCTCTCTCCTCTCTCCCCTCCGGTACACGGTAAGACGTAGTGTGGAGTTGCATTAGGTAACGCTGTGGTGGCTGTACTGCTCCAGCCGTCTCCTTTGTGTTTGTTTGTTTCCCCCTGTCTGTGTTGTTTGTGTGTGCGTGGTGGCTGTCACTCCTGGCTCCCGGCTCAACCTCCACTCACCTGCTGCAATCAGCTGTGCACCCTCCCCGACTACACACCTGCTTTCCATCAAGCCATTTACAACGGCATATCAACGGAGGCTCCACAACCTTTCTTCGCCAGATTGGCTTGATGGAAAGCAGGTGTGTAGTCGGGGAGGGTGCACAGCTGATTGCNACGTATTAATAAACATGGATCCCAATGCTAGTTTTGACACAGAAGAGGTTGAAAATATATATTCGAATGCATATGATTATAATTATGAGCCTGCTAGGCGTCCAAGAGACCAGGAGCAGCCAAGGATTAGAAGAAATAACGGCCATCGGAGAGAAATTGAGCTGTGGTGTGAGGAGAACCAGTGGAGAGCTGGGCAGCGTCACATCACAACATTGTGAAGTTAGCTATCATATATCAGGCTATAACTAACGTAGTATTTATAATATAGTAACGTTACTGGCAGGACTGTTGATACTGATCCATAACAGAAACTGAGAACGGTGAAAAGGTTGTGGAGCCTCCGTTGATATGCCGTTGTAAATGGCTTGATGGAAAGCAGGTGTGTAGTCGGGGAGGGTGCACAGCTGATTGCAGCAGGTGAGTGGAGGTTGAGCCGGGAGCCAGGAGTGACAGCCACCACGCACACACAAACAACACAGACAGGGGGAAACAAACAAACACAAAGGAGACGGCTGGAGCAGTACAGCCNTCTTCTGTGTCAAAACTAGCATTGGGATCCATGTTTATTAATACGTTACACCGGCCGCTCTCCCCCTTGTTTCTCCATGTTACGTCAAACGCGGGAGGTCACGTGCCGAGGCTTTTTTATGAGGAAGTGAACATTTCTTACAAAAACGACGCCAGATGTCACTGTAGTGTATATTTCTGTATATTTTTTTGAAAATCTAGTGTATTCATCATTTTCCTACACATTTATTCACAGGTGTCTTTAACCTGGAAGTTGCTCTTTAAGCAAAGAGGACAAAATGATCCTGAAGGGAGAACAACTGAAGGACACAAACTCACACAGTCAGACATAGTATACATACCCTCTTGAGTGCATGCTCTAACAGACATTGCTCTTTCTTTTCCATTCCTATGCAGAGCACTGACTGTGACGAGGTACTGAGTGCCTGGCTGCAGGCCGGTCAGTAAAGTAGAGTTCTGCTGGCTGGGTAATGTCACGGTGAGGACCTCTCCGCTTGGAAAAGCTCCATACTCCACCGTATATCTCTGAACTCCAGCAGGCTGCAGGGGACCCCAGCTCACACGGATCTGACGAAAGCCAGAGTCTGACACAGAAACCTCTGTCGGGCCTAAAACATCTGAGGGGAGAGGAGACAGGGGGGAGAAGTGGTGACTGGCTGCAGGAAATTAAGAGTCATCAAAATTAATTTAGGTCTGAACCTAGTGTGCATTAGGAATATTGCTGTGCAGCACCTGATACAGAACACAGATGGTAAATGTGTTGATGCAAATTAAATAATGATACATTAAGCCAACTTTAAATGTCAGACAGAGAACAGAAACATGTTGTAACAGGCTCTCTAATGGATATCTGTTGTCTAGAAAGAAGTCATCAACTCTCTTCGACACTCAACCTGGTAAATGTCTCCAGTGTTGTGATACTTTTATGTTAATTTAAACATGTCCAATACGATTTCAACTGATAAAACTCGATTAGTTGAGGAATATTCTGCAAAATGATAACAAACAATAACAACTGCATTTACTTTCTTTTTACTGTTTAGTCGTGAACCTAGTATGGTTTTTTATGTGCATTACAGGAGCGTTCAAGTATATGTTTTTAAATCCTCTCACCAGGAAGTGTGGTGAAGTTAACAGAGAGTGTGTTGAACAGCCTCTGGTTGGACTCCGGGTGCAGGGCAGCAGTGTAGGTGGTGTCAGGCTGCAGGTTGGTCAGCTCCACCCAGCTGGAGTTGCCTGAGAGAGTGCGTTTAGTTTCAGGGCCTGCTTTCCCCAAAGAGTTGTATGAGATCTCATAGTAACCGCTGTCTACTTTCAGAACAGGACGCCACTGCAGCACGGCACTGTGGGAAGTCAGGTCAACCACACGCAGCCGTTCTGCACGAATAATTTCTACAGATAAGACAAGAGAAAGAGAGGCAGCGTGAGATAAAATATAGAAAGAGGGTAAGCCTGTAGTGAAAAATCTCCTTTTCTTACCAAAAAATAAGCATGCTTCTACTGTGCTCAATTTCATATTTAAAAACCCACATACTAATAATGGCCTCCCTCAGGTCTTCTGTGATGATGTCGATGTCATCGATGTCCACTGAGTAGAGGTGAGACTCCAGTGGAGGTGTCACGGCACGCTGTAACACCTGGTAGTTTCCATGTACTGTAGACACAGCTAACACTGACACTCCCTGCGCCTTCAGCTCGGCCATCGCCCCCCCTACGTCTCCGGGCTCCACACCATCAGTCAGCCACAGCAGCACCTTCGGCATGTTCTCGTCTGTCTCTGTCAGAAGCCCCTGGGCCACCCTGAGCGCCGCCTTGGTGTTTGTGTCTCCCTGCAGCTGGCTGACACTCTGCAGAGCTTTCTGCAGACTTTCCTGGTTGTTGTGGACGTCCAGGCCAAACTCCAGGTTGGGGTTTGTGCCCACCTGCAGCAGCCCGACCCTTACGTGCCCACGACCCAATGAGAAGGGGCGAAGGAGAATGGTGGCGAAGTGCAACAAGCGCGAGAACTCTCGGTTTGCAACACTTCCTGAAGAGTCCAGGAGAAGGAGGACATCGCCTTCACAGCAGTTTAAAGCTTTGCAAAAAACAAGGGAAAAAAGGATGGTCATTTCATTTGTCTGGTTGGATTGACAGTTGGATTGAAAGGGTAAATGGTTATACATTAGATTTATCTATGCCAACCTATAATGTTCAAAGCTGCCTGTACAAACATTTTGTTGGCCACTTGGGGGCAGTATAAAACAAGCTATCAACACAAAATGTACATATTATTTTGTTGAACATTTAACATTTGTGCATTATTGTCTTATCCTGGAGATGAGTGAATAATTAGCTTATCCTTGTCACGATCTGTCTGTGTTGTGTTTTGTCTTGTCTAGATCTGTCTTTGATTTTCTATCTGCGTTGCGTTTTGTCTTGTTTAGATCTGTATTTGGTTTCCTGTCTGTGGCCCTTTCTCATTTCTCTAACTCCCCTCCTCGACTCCTATCCTCGAGAATTAGTCCCGCCCACAGGAGATGCGAGCGGAGGAGCCGAGGAGGGGAGCCGAGGAGAGAGGAGGGGAAGCAGCAGGCGGTTAGAGAAATGAGAACTCCTCTCCTCTGAGCAGTCATTTTAAAGAGACGTCCATTAATGATGACAGGAGGCACAGCAGCACTCTGTCTGATGGACAGATGTGTTCATGAAGACTTATATTTACTTTTAATTCATTCACAGTGCGGTAGCCTACAATGAGACAATAACAGGACACACACACACACACACACGTCTGTCCGCCACATCTACGCACTGTACAACACACACACACACACACACACACACACACACAGTACCACACGCACCTACAGCTCCTAAAGCATATAATCAGGCTACAGCCGTTGTGTATTTTATTATCCGAAGCACTAAATGGTTTTAGAAAAATATCGACTCTTTGTTTGTAGATATCTACTAAACTAAAGCAAATAAAGAGAGTAGGCCCGCCTGTTATACTGAGTAATATATTTTTACACACTGCTCTGCTTTCTGCACGGACTTCACAGCTGTTCTCACTGTAAACATTGCGTCGCGATGAAAGCAGTTAATCAAATAATATCCAGGGGATGCATGCAGAGCTGTCATTGGCTGAGATAAGTCCGGCCGTGCGTCACGACTCTTTGAAACCTCTCTGTTCCCGGAAATGAATCTACGAAGGAGCCGTGGAGGACCCATCAGTGCATCCTCGGTTATAGCTCCTCCAGAGAGCCTCCTCGACGCTCGATCCTCTTTCCTCAAAGTGCATTTAGAGAAATGAGATTTCCTTCAACATGGCGCGCTGAAATTCATTTCTGGGTCACTACCGGAGGACCGAGGAGTCGAGGAGGGGGATTTGATGAAATGAGAAAGGGCCTGTGTGTGTTCCCTCCTACCTATTCCCTCCTACCTGTTTTCTTGATTGTGTTCACCTGGTGCCGCTGTGTTTTCTCCTCCCTCCTCACCTGTCTCTTGTTTCCTTGATTAGTCCTGTGTGTATTTAAGTTCTGTTTTTTCTGTCTGTCATTGTTGGTTCGTCGTTAGTCTGTGACTGTGTTCACCGGGAAGTGTTCTGTTTGTCAGTGTATCCTTGAAATAAAGGTATTTCCAGTGTTATCTTCATTTGGGTCCTGCTTGCTTCGC